TGTACCCACTCGTGTCGCAGGAGATCATTGTTTATCCTCCAATTGATTGCTCTTGCTTTCCTGGACACCCTCTTATTAATCTCCAGCTTTATGGCTGCTTCTGTCTTTAATTGCATTAATTGGTGCTCTCTAGATTGCCTGTAGGATCGGAGCTTTGGAGAGCCATGTCCATCAGTGTGACCATGTGTGCATAGCCCTGCTGAGAGTTACAGGAGCCCTGGTGGTGGAGTGGTTCCGGATTGGGCTAACTGCAAGGTCAACAGTTTGAAACCAGCAGCTGCTCAGCTGGAAACAGATGGGGCCTTCTACACCTGTAAAGAGCTCCAATCTCGCAAACCCACAGGGGGTTCTAGCCTGTCCTCTAGAGTCACTATGAGCGGGCCTTGACTCCGTGGCAGTGAGTATGGTTTGGTTTGGCGTTGAGTTACAGGAATGCAGGGCACCCTGTCTCACGGGTGGGGAAATGAGTCCTGTTTTCCCCACCAGATCAAAAATACCACGCTCTTCCTATGCGACGCTCTGTATCCCCATTTCCTGTGCCCTGGGTCTGGAGGAAGGTCCTTGACTTCTTTCAAGGCCTGGCATTCCTTGGAACTCTCCGTGTGTCTTGGCCTCAATCTTCCCCTGGGTCTAGGAGGTTCTCAGCACAGGGACCCCTGGGCCCAAAGGGTGTTCTGCTCCGAGCTAATCTTTCTTTGTGGTAGAAAGACCCCCTTCTCTGCTCACTTCCCCTTTGATCTCATCTAAAACCCCGTGCAGGCCAGACCCCAGGGAAGCCCCTCTTACCTTGTCTCGGGGCCATGACCTGAACCAAAGGGTGCTGCATCCCACCCTGACCTCCTTACAACTGATCGGCTGATCCATCAGATCACATCATGGGGCAGGATGACATTACATGACAGCCTGCCGAACCACAATCATGACCCAACCAAATTGACACAGGTGACTGGGGGCCGCAATTCAGTCTGTGATGCCATCTCGGTAACTTCGACTTGTGCAATCCAGCCGCACCGACTATAGTCTTCATGACTGTAACTTAACCTCAACGCCCCAGAAGACTCCCCTGGCCCTCGTCATCTCGTCCACCCAGTAACCACCGAAATCTGTTGTTTCGCATGACTGAGGTCGTACAGTAGTTGTTCTTGGGGCTGAGTTCGTAGCCCTGCCGGCACAGTGTGTAAGCAAAAGAGCAGTGGCTAAGATGTGGCAGTTGGTGGCCATGAATTTCACAGCCTTGGGACCCGCCGGAGGGAGGCCAGCAGGCTGCGGAGCAGGTGAGGGGCACCACATCTGTTTCCTCGGGTGGTGTGAACAAGCGAGGGACACTACTGTCTCAGTCTGCAGGGTGGGAGTTCCAGGCAGAGGCTGGCCATGTTGGCTCCCTCGGAGACTCTGTCCCCAACTTCTCTGCTGGCTTCCGGAGGTGGCCGGCGTTCCGAGGCTGCAGCTACAGCGTCACTTGCTTTGTCTTCTCCTTTTGGAAAAACCCACAAAAGCAGGAACCTGTAGGAAGCAGGAACCTTTCAGAAAAGGAAAACGCAAATATTTTTCTATGAAAACGAATGATTATAAAAAAATGTTAGGACTGTTCGGACACCGTATGAGAACCCGGGAAATAAAGCAGACCCATGGAGCTCCAGCTCTTACAGGCTTCACTAAGGACAGTGCTCAGATTGGATCAGGACCCATCCCACCCCACGGCATCCGCATGTGAACTGACATCTCCACCTGAGGTTTTCAAACAAGCGCACGCTGAGAGGTCATGGGGCTAAGACTTCAATTCAGACCCTCACAGGCAGGGGGACTGGCTAACGTCAAGTGTGGCCACAGTAGGCCTGAGCCCTCTGCCTGGGCCCATTGGCCCAAGGGGGTTTCTTTACTGAGAGTGGGACCTTCTGCTGTTCAGTAAGACCTTGGCTAGGAGATCGTGTCGAGGGGACCCTGTGGTAGCAGCTGTCTTGGGGAACCTCACCAACGGTTACCAGGGTTACCCCGGCAGTGTCCCCCAGTGTACTCGGCCCTGCTGACTGGAGAGAAATTGGGTGCATTCAGGGCCCAGAAGGACAGCCCCTCGCTGCCCAGGATATGAAGCTTGAGCTGGGCCCCCATGCTCACAGCAGGAGAGGTCTTCCAACAGGGAGCATGAGTGCAGGGTCATCGGGCGATGCTGGGAGTGTGCTCCCTGGTGAGTGTTCCCTCTCGGGAGTCGGGGCAAGGAGACAGGAGGCCGCTTCCACAGACACCTGGTGCTTCCACAGATGCCAGACCCCCGCCCCATTTCTTTACCTGACAGGCCTCCAGGGAGGGCGGCAGAGGTGTTGCTTTCCGGTTAGTTTTCCTTCATAAACTCCAGTTTCTGCGCATGTTGTGTTCCAGCCTTCAGGACACTTTGAATCAATGTCAGTTGAATCTTTTAAATCCGGGCCTCTACACCCATGGGGTAGGACACCAGGAGGGCGTGCTGCCAGCCCCATGGGGGCAAGGCTCACGTGGAGTGGGGGGAGCTCAGGGGCAGGGTGTGTCCTTTCTGCCCGTCCACTGCCTGTCCTGACTGCTCGGTTTGTCAACGTTTCTGACCCATTTCACTGCCTGGACTCAGGTTTGAAACCCTGAATCTGACAGTGCTCCACCCTTGCTGCAGGAGCTAAGGACTAGACATGCGGTCAGTACTGTGGCGAGGCCAGGGACACAGTGAATTGTTAATGGGGGCTTGAAGGGCGCCCAGTGGGCTCCCCCAGCGCTCTGACCTTCTCTGGTGTGCTCCCAGCAGGGTCCCCCCTGCTGAGGGGAGTGCCACGCAGTGTTGCCGCCCCTTGAGGGATCGCGGAGGCCGGTTAACTGTGGTCCTCTTGCCTGAGCGTGGCCCTCTGTCCCAATGTGGCTGTATTTCACATCATTTCAGAGGCTGGCCAGGCTGGGGGACCCACCCCAAAAAGAGCTTCCTTTGGGGTGTCCCACAGCTGTGAGACTACTCTAAGCGATATAGGGTTGGTCCTCCGCCACGAGGTGAAGTGGTCATCGCTCCTGGCGCTGCACCTTCCCTGTCCTGGACTCTGCCCTCCTCTCTCCCTTGGATGTTCTGGAATGTTCTGAAGCAACCTGCTTGTGAGACGGTCTGGCGCCCTGGGACACGGTGGTTACGTGCTCAGCTGCTAACCAGAAGGCTGGCTGTTGAATCCACCTACTGCTCCGAGGGAGAACGATGAAACAGTCTGCTTCCATAAGGAGATCAGCTCTGGAGACCCCCTGGGGCAGTTCCACTCTGCGCAGTGGGGTGACTAAGAGTTGGAATCGACTCGATGGCAGTGGTTTTACGGGCCCTGATAGTTCTTCCGAAAAGTAAATGACTGGTCACAGCTGGCAGAGTTCACCCTGCCATTGGGCATGGGGTCATAACGGATAGTCAAACCCTGAACCTCGGTGGAAGGCGGGGAGGGAGGTATCCCTCGGGAGCCTGGGAGCCCTGCTTGGGAACTGTGGGTTCTGCCAGGAGGGTGGGCAGCCCAGAGGGGCAGGGGAGTGGTCTCGAGGTCCAGGCACTGTGTTCACTCAGTGTGAAGATGCCTGGTGGGGTGGGTGGCCCCCTCGTCTAGTTAAAGCTCTGCTCTGTAACTTGGCTCTTTTGCACACAAGGGCGTGTCTGGGCCCCTAATAAAGAGGCGTACCGGGTTGTCCATGATGAGTAGGAACGGCACATGGAGGAGGGGGTCCTGGGGGAATACCGGGTTCCTCATTGCCCTGCTAACCACAACATCCAAGGTTCAAACCCGTCAGCTACTCTGGGGGAGAAGGAGGAGGCTTCCTGTTGCTGTGATGATTTGCAGCCTTGGAAACTGCCGGAGCAGTTCTGCCTTGGCCTGGAGAGGCCCGATGTGTCGGAATTGGCTCCTTGGCGGTGGGCTGTTGGTTGGCTTAGACCGAGCACAGCCCCCTACCACCCTGTAAGGGAGCAATAGTTTGGCACCGGTGCACCCCACCCCACTGGTGTGTCATGTGCCCCACACAGGTGCCCCTACACGGGGATGGGCCAGGCACGGGGTGCGGGGGAGCCCGAGATGGGCTGCTGATATTCAGGGCTGCTCTCTTCTCTCCCTTGCAGATATCTCCAATGGCACCAGTTCCGGGGGGTACCGCCCACCTCCCCGAACCAAAGAAGTCATCATCAACGGCCAGACCGTGAAACTTAAGTACTGTTTCACCTGCAAGATTTTCCGGCCCCCTCGTGCCTCCCACTGTAGCCTCTGTGATAACTGCGTAGGTGAGTCGCTGGAAAGGCCCGGCACCTGTGTGGGGGACGGAGGAGCCTGTCTCTGAACAGGGGCGGGGCTTGGAACGGAGCGTGCCTGCGTTATTCTGACGGTCACTGGATTGCCAGGAGTTTGTCCCTTGCCGTGGCCCTGTTCCCTAGGCCTCGACCTACTAGCTCTCTTCTATCGAGGTCTCTTCTTAATACGTCCTGCACATCCCACGCCGCAGGCCGGGGCATAGGAAGTAAAGCCTGGGCAACCGCAAGGCTGTGGCTGGCTGCCCGGCGGGCAGTTTCTGCAGCCAACCCTCTCCTTGGTGCAGAGGCCAGGGCGTTGGAAACCCAGAGGGAGGGAGGGAGATTCGGGATAATTGACCTTGGCTTCCCCCCATGGCCTCCAGTGCCACTTCCTTCCCCGGGGCAGATGAGGTATGCCCACAGCTCTAGACCTGGCCCACCTATCAGCCCCCACAGACCAAGGCCCCCCGGGATTATCTGGCAAGCTCCCCCGAGCTGCCACGGACCATCTTGTCTTTCCTCGGCAGGGGTTCCTCAGAGAGGAGGAGGGAAGAGGGCAGGAGAGAGACCCTCCTCCTGTCACCGTAGGAGTTCCCTCGGGGGTCCCCAGAGGATAGGCAGGAATCCTTTTCCCCTCAAAGGACAGGGGCGCCCCTCAGAACGAACCCCGGCCCTCGGCAGCACATGACCAGTTGCCAACCCTCCTGTGGCATCGACAGGGGTTTTAGTCTCCCGTGGCGGAGTGGGGCCCTGCAAGTTCTGCAGTTCAGAGCAACCCGAGGGAGAAAGACAGAGCTGTCTGCTCGCAGAAACAGTTCTCTGTCCTGTGGGGCGTCTATGAGTCAGCGCAGGCTCAGCAGTGTGGCTTTCTGGTTTGAAAATGAACGTGACCCTGCGGCCCTCCTTTTAGCTGCTGTTGCCTGTGTGTCTGAACGTGGTCCAGGTTTTCCCTCTCCGACCTCGTTGGGTTGCGTTCACTTAAATAAACTTCTTGTAGCCTTTACCTCTCCCAGTGGAACAGTCTGGAATTTAGGTCAGACGTCCTCCTTTGGCAGTAGCCTGTAGTGGAGAGCCTAGGATCTGGTAAATTAAAGGGGAAAAAAGTCCAAAACGTGTTGCTACTGAGTCAATTCAGACCCATGGCAACCTTATAGGCCAGACACCGTGCCATCAGGTTTCTGCGGCTGGGATCTTTTAGAAGCGGACCACTGCCTCGTTCTCCCTCAGAGCCCCTGGGGGACTCAAACTGCCTGCCAAGCGTGTCATCACTGCCAAGCACCACCGGGGCCCCTCTGGGGTTGGGCACCAGGTCCACATCCTGGTTTCACCGTAGTAGCTGTGTGACACAGATAAGCTTCTTCTGTCTCTGTGTCCCAGCTTTGAGCTCTGTACCGTGGGTTCGATGCCCACCTCAGGCAGGGTTGAGAGGGCATGAGTGAGCACCTGTCAAGTGCCGGGCAGAGAGCGGTTGCTCTCTCGCTGTTAGCTGCTGGGGCTGTTGCCTCCTCTGTCCCCTGATGATCCGGGCTGCCTTTCTCTGGACAGTTCCTGCCTCGACTGTAGCCCTCTGCACAGGTGGTGTACAAGACCATGCCCACTATGCCCTGGGCCAGCTGGATTTCTGATATAGCCCTTCAGGGGACACCAGTCCAGTCCGAGTGGCCATACATGCCCCTGCTGGGGACACTGATGCCCAAGTAGCTCAGATAGCTTCAGGGGACTCTTCAGGCTCTCAGGACCCTTCCTCGGGTTGTGACCTTGGCCTCGGGGCCTGTTCCAGTGTGATACAATTGTGTGCCCTTGTATAAGGAAGCTCCTCTGTCCTTTTGGCTGTCCTCTCAGGGGGCTCGTCTTGATTCTGTGTGACAAGCATTGTGACATGCAGGGTGCCCTCTGCAAGCCTGGCAGCCAGTGGACACACCTTTCTCTCTGGCTTTGGCATTATAGACACCTGTTTACATTTATCAGCACATGGATACACTCGGTGGATCTCAGTCCTCCATTTCCTGTGTTTGACAAAACTCCCCCAGCCCTGATCTCAGAGAGACCTGCGTTTCAAGGGCCCTTTGGTGCATTGTTGTCAGACACTTTCGTGTGTGTGTGTGTGTGTGTGTGTATGTGTGTGCTGTGTGTGCGTGTGAGAGACACTTTAAAAAAAATCATTTTATTGGGGGCTCGTACAACTCTTATCATAATCCATGCATACGTCAATTGTGTAAAGCACACTTATACATCGTTGCCCTCATCATTCTCAAAACATTTGCTTTCCACTTGGGAGAGAGACACTCTTTTGAAGTTTGTGTAACTGCTCTCATGGGCTCCCTTAGCTGCCCACAGGTGCATGTGCCCCTTAAAGAACTCGATTGGGGGTGGGGAGGGAAAAAAAAGAGGAGCTGATACCAAAGGCTCAAGTAGAAAGTAAATATTTAGAAAATAATGATGGCAACATATATACAAATATGCTTTATACAATGGATGTAAGGATTGTTGTAAGAGCCCCTGCTAAAATGATCTTTTAATTAAAAAAAAAAAACGAAAACAAACCAATCAATTAAAAAAAGAACTCAGATTAGGCCAGGCAGGACATCCGTGGCCTGCAGTGGTACGAGGGCCGTCTTCTCTCCTCTCAGACTCTGTGTGTCTGTCACTTTCTCAGCGTCTTGCCTGCTCTGTTTTCTGGTTTTCTGTGTCATTGTTGCAGACAGGGGCAGAGTGTTAAGGGGCATTAGGTCAGTCACCAGGCTATCTGGAAAATCATAAAATATTTTAAAAGAGCAAACAGCTGCATCCCGGTGCCTCCTCTCCCCTCTTCTCCGATCCTCAGATCACTCCGATCAGTAAAGTGATGGGGCTGGAGCAAACACGCTGGCTCCTCTCAGCACACTGGCCACATTCTAAGGCCAGAGTGAGTCTCCACATTTCTGCCACCTGTTTGGACCTTGTTGGGGAAACCTGTCCAGGGACAGAAAGCTCTAGAATTGAGTATTTTTAATAATACCTAAACTTGACTTACTGCTCTGAGCAAATCTACTGGGCAAGATCTCAAAGTGTTAAAAAGCCGTGGTGTCACTCTGGAAACTGAGGTGGGCCTGACCTTGTCAGTCCCCCCCTGTGCATGTGCGAGCTGGACAGTGAGCGAGAAAGACGGTTAATGCCTTGGAATGATGGTCCTGTGGGGACTATTCAATATATTGTGGGCCGCCAGGAGGACAGACAACTGTCTTGGAGGAAGTAACGTCTCCAAGTCTCTCCTTAGAGACGCCTGGTGACACGTCTCACACACTCTGGACAAGTTTTCAGGTGGGACCAGTACCTGAGAGAGTTCATCATGCTTGGTTGTGTTAGTCCGGGAAGACTAGAGAAACAAACTCACTGATACTCATGTACATGCAAGAATTTTAAATCAAGAAGTAATTATGCATCAATAAAACGCCCCAGCCAGTCCAGATCAAGTCCATAAGTTCAATATAAACCCATATGTCTGATAACAGCCCATGACTTCCTCTTCAGATTCACGCAGCACATGCAATGTTGCTGAATGCAGGAAGAGCACAGGCCGGCGGGTGAAAACTCTTGTGGATCCAATGGCAGTGGAAGCATCACAGGCCTGTCTCTTCAGATCTCCACCACATAGCTCGCTCAGGTCTCAGTGGAGCTCCACAGGGCTTGTCCATAGGAAGACGGAGGCAGAGACACAGAGAGAGTGTGTCCCGCCTCCAGGGAGGAAGAGAGGAAGTTCCCAGAATCCTCATGAGAAGGCCACGCCCACAAGGAGGCATCAGGCTGTGACCCGAATGACAGGCTTGACTCCACCCCTTCACTCTTAATATCCTCAGGTTGACACGAGATGATGTAACTACCACACTGGTAAAGTGGACGGTCAGTCAGAAAGAGGAAGACCCTCACTGAGAGTGGTTGCTACAGTGGCCTCCAACATAACAATTGTGAGGAGGATGCAGGAGTGGGCAGATTGGATACTTAAACCTAATGGAACCAATGTGCAAAATGAATTCTCAAAAAAACGTTTCAAAAACGTACATAAAGATATGGCAAATTTCACCCAGCAGTGTAGTTTCAAGAATAACTTACTGTGGCATAGAAAGGTTTGTTTCTGGATTCCAATTGTTTTCAGGATTAATGAATGAGTTTATGAATATGTCAATAGGTCAAAGGAGAAAAGATAGATGAGCATGCTGGTTGATTCTGACAAGGAATTTGATGAAGTTTGACATCCATTTCTAATTGTAAGACTTGACAAACCCAAATTGAGAGATGTGGTAGTCAGATTTTTCCACCTCTGGTTATTTTAAATTGCATGTCACAAAAGGATTTCAGAAATATTAATAAGAAGATGACTGATCAGCTGCCTGGGAGTCTGCGGGTAGGAATGGGCACATACACGGTTAGGTGCTGGGCTACTATCCAGAAGGTTGGTGGTTCAAGCCCACTAAGAGGGTCCTTGGAAGAAAGGCCTGCCAGTCACCTGAAGGCCTAGCTCTGCTGTGCACGCACGAGGTAGCTGCGACTCAGAAGCTTCTCGGTGGCAGCTGGTTGGGTTCCTGTTTTTTGTTGTTTTGGTCAGCGGACCTTGAAGTAGGGCGATTACCCTGGACAATCCAGGAGGCCCCAGGGTCGTCCTATAAGCACCCGCTCCCCCCAAGAGCAGAAAAGGATGTCAGAGAGACTTAGGAAGCTATCTGAGAACTCCGTGCGCTTGAAGATAGAAGGAAGGGCCCCAGTGGGAACAGAATGACCCCGCCAGCACCACCAGTTTGGGGGAGACTCGAAGGTCCAGCCAACAACTTTGACTTGAGCCTTGGAGACGGTGAACAGGGGACCCAGCCTAATATGAGCCCCCATGACTCTCTCCCATACCTGTGGGCCTGTTGAAAGGCATGCCTTGTGAACACTGCATAATCTTATTTTGTGTTCACAGAACTCCTGTTAAGAGATTGTTTCCTGAGGTTTTCGGTGAAGCCCTGAGGGCCTAGTGG